GGAAAAGCACATGTAACGTGCCTTAATCTAATTCCAGCCCTCAAGAGCTTCTCCAACGGCACAGCAACCTCAGCAGCCACGGCTTCGGTTTCAGTGGGCTTATTTCCTCTTCTTTTTTATAAATAATTGCCACCCTGCAATGCTGTGAAGATTTTAACACATACAGTTCTTCAAAACCTACCTCTTTTTGTGGAAGCTGGATGTAATTAGGTCAGCCCAAAGGCACCTGACGCGCGAAGATGAAAACCGAACCAACCTGCCTTCGTTCCGAGAGTTTCACAGTCTCCCAGCTGCAAGGAAAAGATTCCTCACCCAGAAGATTCTCTCCTAGGAAACCCAGGCCGCTAATTGCAGAGTGTGGGTTTCATTTCGCGTTCTTACGGAAAGACTCTTGCTACCTCACCCAGGACCGTGAGTAGCTGTTTGTGACGGACACTGTCCCGCAGACTCTCCAGTCCTGACCGTGTCGAGCGGTAACGCCTGTTGCAAGCGAACACCAGAGGGAGCAGCAAACATGTGTGTGGGAGGTAGCTTCTACGTTGGAGATGGAACAATAAAGTAAAGGAAACCTTGGGGAAAACTTAAAGACAGTTATCGCTGGCTGTATTTTCAAACGACAGTAACTAACCCAGCGCAATCCCCCAGCAGTGCAGGGTCAACCAAGGGTAAGAGTCCAGACGCACTCGGAGGGATGCAAGCTGAGCTGGGCCGCATCTCCCACCCGCTCACTCCACCTCCTGATGAGACCACAAGATTTACAAAGTCTTCTGAGAGTATAAAGCACTTCTACAAAACGCCATGTACATTTAGGTGGGTTACACGGAGCTGAAAATACACCCTACGTCAGAAAAGTTCAAACACAGAACAGCATGTGATAATATGGGGCATTTTTATTATATAAAACCACACAGTTCAAACTCTACAGGGTAAAACCAAGAACAAGTTTAGGGGTAAAACCAAGAACATGTTTAAGAGACATAGAAAAAAAGATGAAATCAAGGATTAATATGCCAACATACCAGCAATGAACAAGTAATTACAGCAATATCTCAAATATTTTTCTATGAAGCTGCCAAAGACAGTTAAAAACCCTTGCAAAAACAACAGAAGCATGATCAACACCACAGAAACACAGCTTGGAAAACACCCACCACACATTAATCAAACCCCCCAAACTACTCTTTTAAGGAACTGAACCTAAGAAAAGAAAATTTACGTTTTTTGCAGGCTTTTATCTTTGCACTACAGCATGCAGCCTATCACATCCAGGAGTTCCTAAGGCATTTGTCATCAGCACCCTGGCTTCAGCATGGGTTCCCTGATACCGAAACAGAAAGGCTCTTGGCAGATTTGTGAGATGCTTGGATTAAATTGGTTTCTCCGATTGTACAAGCACGAGTCACAGCATCCGGGGCTAGAAGAGTCAGCCTGCTGGCGTGGGACTCCAGAAAAGCCTAGCTCACCCCACCACGCTGAGCGCAACCCAGCCTGCAGACATGATAAAATCTTTAGCTCTGCCGTGAGGGGTTTCCTACAAGCACGTGGTCTCAGGCGAGAGATGAAGCTGACCTTTAGCAGAAGTCTGCTTAGCAGGTGGCTTCACTACCTGCCTGGGGAATGATAGTTAAAATTGACTGTTTTCTTGCAGTACTTTGTTTAATGAAGACATTATCCGCCATGGAGAAGACTTGTTCACAAAGACTCTGTCTGAAGGACAATCGGAACGAGGTCGGATGATTATGGATTGCTGCTGATGAAATGAGTTTTTTATACCACAGTTCCAGGTGTTCCCAGAGAAGCCAGCTCAGAAGTGTGCTGGCTGCACGTTCTTACAAGCATGTGTGACGTCCTGCTGCTCAGACACTTCAATCACACAGCCTTTAGCACAGACTCAGAAACGTGCCCTACCCTGATGTTTGCACTGAATGAGCAACAGTGGCAACTAGAAACAGAAATGTGTGAGTTCCTAGCTTGAGAGCACAGCCCCCCCAGGCTATCCTGGCACAGGGTTTTATTCTAGCCCACAGCCTGTGCTCTCTCCCTTGGAGGAACACGGCCAGTCCCTGTATTGACCCTGTGCCACCACTTGCTCCGAGCAAGTCACAAACACACAAACTTGGCACGTAAGAAACACCTCTCAGAAGAGCGATGGAGGGAAACCTAGACTTCTGGGTATTTGGTAGGTCTCTAATTCTGGCTGCTGTCACGCTTAGCACGATGATGTGCCATGCTCTGACTCTGCACCATCTGCTGCTCGTTAGCTGACAAAGGCAGCTACATGCCATCTCCCCACTAGCTGTTGCTCATTAGCTGACAAAAGCCATTTTCAGTGCTCACGTTGTTCCTTCTGTAATAATCGAACACAAAGATGTACAAAGAGCAAAGAAAAGAGGAAACGAAGATGACAGAGTAAATTATGAGCTTAACTAAGAACATGAGGGTATTCTTAAATCTCAAGGAGAGAATCCCTCCAAGAGCAGGCTGCAGGTCCTGGCCCCAAAGGAATGTGCCAGCAGGCAGGTATAAAGGTCAGCAAGAAAGATAATCCATTTACCTCAAACCGTTTTAAACATGCAAGCGCACGTTTCTAGGCTCTTTCCATTCAGGTTCTCTATTTGGTGACAATTTGGATATTCCATATCTGATTACAGAGAAGAGAGTGGCTGGTCCCACCTTGACAAGCACTAACCTCAGGTATGTATGTCCCTGGTACACAAGCAGAGCAGGGCTTAGGAGCTACACAATCAAGATCTACAACCTCCACAGGAGGTCTACCTGTTGGTAAAGATTCCACATTTGTCAGGAGGACCCTCAGCTTCAATTATAAAACATTTACACAGCTAAAAAGAAGCAGCAGTAGCTAAAAGCCCACTAACATTTAAAAGAACCCTGCACGATGGAAATTGGACTACAGCAGCTGATGAGTAACCCAACAGAGAAGAACCAGCAAAGCCAGGGGAATGAACAACAAAAGGGTTCTCTGTTTTGGGAGATGTGCTGATGATAGCAGATTACTCAAACTACAGAGAACTGGAAATACTCACAGAGCATTTACACTGCTATGGTCAATTAATTCTTTTCCAAGCTCAGTGAGTGGCTTGGCAGAAAAGCCAAAGAGATATTCTGCTTCAAGGAGAAGCAGTTATTTATGATTGATGATGAGAAGCCACCATGTCAGCTTATTCCCTCCCTCTTATGCCTTTTCTCCACCCTCCTCGCCAGATAAAACCGGGTAACTGCTTCTGTCATTGCATTGCCACGACAGAAGGCAAGAGTACGAGGAGTGTTCTGGGCACTGAGCAGCTCAGAGAAGCTGGCATGGGAAGTGTTAAACTGATCACGGGGCAAGGCACAGAGGAAGCAAGGAAGACAACAGATGGTAAGTGTGGGAGATGAAGAAAAAGCCCACAAGCAGAGTGACACGGTTAACGGAGATGGTCCTGCAAAGCAGGAGACAGAGAAGGGACCAAAGGAAGAGAGGAAAGAGATAAGAGGTGAATGGACAAGGTGCAGGTAATTCTGCTTTGCTTCTTATTTCCTCCTCACACCCAGACCAGCACCTTTCACTCACGAGCCGCACAAAGTAAGAACCCGACCACGAGTGTTCCTGTCTGAAGGAGGGCAGGCAGGGTGACATAGTACAGCAACGGAATTGAGGAAACAGGGCTGGGCACGCACACTTCATTGTAAGGCAAGCCAAAGGAGAAAGACTTTGTGCACAACCACACACACCGGCGCTCAAAGCTTTCTCCGCGGGCGTGCCAAACCCCAGCACGCTTGTCTCCAGAGAAATGCCCGTCCACAGCACCACGTGAATCCCGCAGCGGAACGCCTGCTCACCCAAAAGCACTTCAAGCAAGGTTAAGGCTTCCCAATGCGAGCGAGTGAATCGATGAGGAATCACAGACAAAGCAGCTTACAGCCCAGCTCAGAGCAGTAACACACTGGGAACTCGGCCATCTCACGCTGCTAATGCAACTCCTACAGCTTTGTCTTCACTACCAACAGCTCAGCTAATTCAAAGCAACATCACAGCAGAAAACGAAAGGACTCCAGTTTCGCTGCAAGGTAAGTTTCAGTAAGCGGAGCCCTGTTTTGATAGGGGAAGGTTAAAAAAGCCTAGCCTAAAACAATTCAAATAAACGTTTCACACCTCTCTCTATGCACGTGTTCCAATCCCTGCGATACCAGCAGGATGCTTTGAAGCTCGGCTGCCCTGCCCCGAGATGTCTGACACAACTGGCACTGCACACACTGGGACAATGACACAACCAGACGTGACACACGCCCACATTCCAAATGTCAACCATTCTTACTTTTCAGCCGCTGCTTCTGCCGTCAAGAAGAACAGTTTCTGCGCTCCTGCATTCCCTTCCCCCACTCACTAAGGCCAGAGGATGCCAACATTAATCACACTACACACATCTTTAAAAATTGTTTGGTCCAGCTTCTCTGCCATCACTGGAAGCTGAGCATGCACTAGGGAAAAAAAAATCCCAGTGGGATCATTTTCAAAACTCATCAGGAGAGCAAAACAAACTTTTTTAGCTACATGCACTGCATGTACATACTCACATACGCAAGTGACAGCCCTCCCAAAGCTATTAGCAAGGTTAGGTTCTCAGCAGGCTGCAGAAGGGGATGTTTCCTGGATTAGAAGGATCACCCATCCTTGAGACAGTAAACCAGCTTTGCTCTCTGGGTGCGTTACAGAACCTTGTTTGCAGGAATATTAACTTTTTTGTTTGGAGATTCAAATGAGCACTGTCTCCATTCTGTTTTAGCTTATCTGACCTGCTAACAGGCCAGCACAGGATATGAATCCCTTGCTCTCCCTGCTTTCTCTTTTCCACGCTCCTTTTACATTTCTGAAGGTGACCAGATAGCAGGTAAGACGGATGGGAAACCGGCAGCGGCTTTGTTACTCCCCTAACAGACACGACAGAACACAGAGGTACACACCTACCCCGGCCTTGGGACACGAAGCACGTTAAGGGCACAGCATTCCTTCTCGTCGCTGTCGTCGAAGCAGTCCGGCAAGCCGTCACACTGCCAGCTCCCCGGGATGCAGCGCCCGTTACTGCACATGAAGTTTCCAGGAATATTGCATTCGTTCGTGAAGTTATTCCCAGGCAACAGCTGACTCTCTGCACCAAACAAAACGAGAGCGAAGTTTACAGCGGATTTTGAAAAAGACAGCAAAAGCAGTCACTGAGTTTATGGAGTCTGAATGAATATAAGATAAACGGATCTTCACTCTGGCTGTTCGTTCAGTATGCTATCAGTACCCTGATTATGGTACTTGGCAGCACTTGCCTTTTCCTAAATTATCATTTTGCCTGTTTTCCATCCACACTCCTCATTTTACAGACTTCTCTCTTGCTATTTGCGTTCTAGGAACATCCATGCAGCCTTCTATGACTCCTCAGGTCAAAGGAAAGTTGGTTGATTAAAAAAAAGAATCTCCCTCATGGGGTTGGTTTGAACACAAGTAAAGCAGACACGACTCCAAGAACTCAGCTCCATACTCCCAGGCTTTTGTCAGATCAGTACGTAGCTTGCAGAATACTTTTGTTGCTGTTCCCCAAGGGCTAGAGAGCACGTTGACTAAATTCCTATCAGGTTAGAGCTGCTGATCAAACTCAGAACTGAGCTTCTTGGTGTTCATACAGTCCCCTGGCATACAGCTGCCCACAGGCCACTGCGGCAGTTGGCAGGGCACGAGTCCGCCAGGCGGAGGGGGTTTAATAGCAGGATACTGGAGACCAAGAGAACACAGCCAGAGAAACCCAGAGATTTGCTTTCAAGGTCAAACACAGCTCCAGTCAGTCATTTTAATCTACCACATCTCCCACTTTGTGTGTTGTTTTGGGAACGCGGGCACCACAGAAGCACCAGTTTCAGTGAAGATAATGACATGCAATGGTTTTGATGAGCACCGAAACAGCACGGATGTGGTCGAGCTCAGGCGAAACTGCGAAACAAGGCAGAAGATGAGAGAAAGAATATCCTTCCCCTTGTCTTCCTCTGTCATGTTCCACGCTAGTCCCGGGCAACACGCATGTCACCAGCCAAAACCCAGGAACACAAACCTGGCCGCAGCAGGGTGAAGACATCACCAAACTCTTGCCCCCCATGCCTGCCGGCAAACCTTCACGGTTCAAAACCAAGACGAACAAATTGAGCTCACGCACAGCTTAACCACTTACCTATTTTGAGGGTACTTGTGTGATTATCAGACCCCTGGCGGAGTGGCCGAGCTGCAGGCAGTGCCCTCGTTGCCCACCTTACACCAACTCCCCACCCCTGCGAGTCCAAACCTCTCCTCTCTCCACCGCTCCGAGCGGGTCACAGCTGCTGGATCGGCACTTTCAGGGAAGGCAGACCTTTTCCTAGCCCACTCCTGCAGTCCCAGGGGGGAATCTGCTCCACGCCAGCTTCTCTGGAGAGCTCAGCTGCCCAAATAACCAGTCTCTAAGCACGAATCGGCCAAATGCAGATGGGTGCCTTTGTCCCCTGCATCGCAACAAAATGCTCCAGCCCTGACACAGGAAAAGGCACTAAGTTTTACATCCCTGTTTCAAGAGACACATGATAGGAACACTTCAGAGAGGTATTTTCTATGCCTAGGTCTGCCTCAAACAGCGTATTTCTTCTCAAAAGTCATTTGGCTGATGTTCCCGAGGATGTTCTAAAGAATCCGCCAGCACAGAGCAGATTCCTTAATGGAAAATTGCCCTGAGCAGTTAGAAGATAAGGTGATTGAGGAAGAGGTGGAAATAGGGTCTTCTGAGGCAGATAGAGCAACCTCAGCCACCGGCCACACATCCAGAGCCACCTCTCCTGCTGTAGAACCTTAAAGAAAGCGAGTGACAGCCTGCAAAAAGCAAGCCGTACAGCATCACCGGCAACCCCGTGCCGCAGCTCTATGTTCAACTAGCAAGGGGCTTTTTTGGTTTAAGGGAATAAAAAACAACAAACAGAACCAACCATGACCGAACACATTCAGATCAGTCCTCGTATCACTGACCTGTGCCTGGTAAGTAATCACCGAACCAAAAGGGCCGCTCTCAAACAGCTACAGAGAGTGAAATCACCGGCGTTACCCACCCTCCTGTCAGCAAACAACTCCCCGTGTGCTAGTAACACCTCTGCCTGCAAACAGAGAAACCCTCCCGCAGCGCCACGCAGCGACAGCGCGGCGTCGCCAGATCGAGACAGGAAAGAGATGAGACGCCCGGGTGCTCTTTGCAATGGAAAGGCACAGCCCATGTGCCACGTTCTCGAGTTTGTTATAAAGCATCCAAGAGCTTCAGCAGCAGAACCTACCTCCTTTCTCCACATTCCCCCCCTAAAAAAACAGCTTTCAGGTGAGTACGGTACCACTGGAAGACCTTCCTGGGAGTTGTTTTAACTTTGATTAGAAAGAATTTGCAAGTTCTCAAATGCGACAAAACCACAGCATCCTGGCTAAGAGTAAATCCCTGATGCAAAGCAGAATTATCCCAGACTTGATGACGAAACTAGGAATTAGAAAAGCTTTTGGTCTCTCAGAAGCTAAGCACCTAGCGGTACATTCGGGCAGCAACACCCAGCACCATTCCCTCTGCATCCCTCTGTGGCTCTGCACCACTTCCTTGCTTCATCTCATACCCACGTCTCTCGGCCAACCTGCTGCACCTCCACAGCCAAACTGTACCTCTTAAAAATGAAAAATCCTGCTGCCAACACTTACGTGAGACCTGCTCTCACAGCTACCTGCCCTACCTACGGAAATGCCTTCTCCCCTCTGAGCACCACGGTGTTCCTGAGCAGGTGCGCTTCAAGCACTTGAACACCTCCTGTGCAGAACAACCAGAGCTCGGCTCCTCTCCGATCCTCTGCTGTTACCTCGCCTGACAAGCTCCACGATCTCCACACTCCTTGAAAGATAAAATTCAGACTAAGCCAAACCGTTTAAGAAACTTTCAGAGTTTCAAAAAGCAAGAAACACAAACCAAGGAAGAAACAAACCCTCCAAACAACCTATCAACTCTCTGTTATTTTTAACAACTCCTTTAAATAAAGTGCTGTACTTCTACTCTGCTAAAGTGAAGCAACGTTCCAGGAGCAGATACCACATTTTACGTGTTAACCCAGTAAGTTGTTTGTTTATAGGATTTCCTTTGCCATACAATAAATTTATCTTCTAAAGCAAGGATGTATTACTAACCTTTTCACTACACAGGAAACTAAAGATTCTGGCAGATGGTCCTACACAAGCTTCGCTGCGGAATGGGAGCACAAAACTCTGGCTCCACCCAATCTCAGTGTAACAGCTATTTCTCTTAAAAAATGACCTTCGTCAGCCGCTAGAAGAGAGCTGCGGGTTACAGGCGGCAATTTAAGAATCATAATCAACACGTCTTAGAAACTTGTTACGTGCGGTATTCCATCAGCTCCAAAACAATCCAGCGCTGGACAAAGAGCTGTCGGAACAAGCGCACGTGTGGAACCGTTTTAAATGGGATCGCTCCTCTGGCTTCCTTCCCTTCGCAAGCCTCCTCTCTCCGATGTAAGAAACCTCGGAGAAATCCTCAGCGCGGTCACCACCTCCCAGCTCTCAGGAAGGCGTCGTTCCTGCCCGCTCAGCACGCTGCCTGCTGCACGCACACGAGGACTACTCACGGACCGGACCAAGCTCACCCATTTTTCTAATAAAGTCCATATAGACATCAGGTTTTGTCACAGCCAAGTCACTATAACACCTCTTGGTGGGGTCAGAAGTTCCTTCAATCTGGCTTTCCATTAGCTGACATATTTACCCTGCAGTCTCCGTGAATAATTTTGAATTTAACCCACACAGGAGCTCCACGGATGCATTCGCTTAAGTAAAGGAGGAAAGGAAGAAGGGGAAAGAACTAGCCCATTTTCACCGCAACACATTGCTCACTTGAAGAGGCATGCCATCTGGGCTGAATAAAAAAAAAGGGACTCGTGTTGCACTTCGAAGGGGACTGAGTAAGGAAAGTCAATCTGTTTCAGCAGCCACCTCCAAAAACGTTAGCATCTAAATATTTAATACTTGCTGAAAAAGAACCAGGGAAAAGTAAATAAAAGGACAAGCCACACTAAGCACACTGTATCAAGAAAGCAAGTCAAGGATATCTTTCACAAAATAAAAAAAACTTTACCTGGAAGCGCTCCAGAGCACTGGGCACATTACGGAACAGATTACGACTGACCCGGCTGCTGCCTCAGTGTCAGAGAGGGGATCAGCAGAGCGGGCTCTCACCCTGGCCCAAGAGGTTTTCAGGAGGAAATACAAGATATTTAAGTGTTCAACACCCTCATGAACAACGCCAGTAACTTCAGCGTTTTTGCAAAGGATGAAGCCTCAACTCTGTGGCACGTTTTCTGTAGAAATCCTGGGATCTTCACCGGATACTTTCACTGGATTGCTGCTTAAAGTTTTTCAGATGTGAAGAGAATTATTTTGATCCAGGCTGGCATGTAGGTGTGAAGCCAAAGGGGTCCCTCACGATCCTTCCCTGTCACGCGATGCACACAGCGTGCTCCCTACCGGAATGAATTTGTTCGTTCTTTCTGCTTATCCCCTTGGCTGGGTGTAAATCCACACAGGGTTGGATTTCAGCACATCAGAAATCTGTTCTCACTCTGCTGAAATCTGCAGCGTGTTGTGAAAACAAAAGGAGGGAGACTAGAACAAGTCAGCAGCTGGAATTTGCAGCAAGACAGCATCAAGAAGACACACCTGCCAAAATCTGCTCACCAGCCAAGCGCGTCACAGCTAAAGAAAAGAGAGCGACAACGGCAGGCTTGAACAACCACCTTTTGATCTTCCTCCGTCATCTTAAAAGACACAAACAAGCAGTGTTAAGCGAGGAGTAGGGCCCCTCAAGAGGTTGCAAAACTATTTACAAACGCTTACATCCAGGTCCAGTTGCCTCTGTGTGTTTAGCTGCTAAGGCCAGATGTATCTTATCAAACCTCCTGATGTTGACAGGGAGCTCTGACTCACTCCACATCTCCTTTACAGAGATCTCCTAAAGCAGATGATGCACCCAGAAGAGGAATTCAAAAGCAGAGCACGGAGAAACTCTATAAACATTACACTTAGCCTACAGACTTCACTTTAACATGTGCA